TATAACTTTAAAGTTCCAATTTTTGTTCTTACTTTATCAACATTAATTTCCTCTTTAATAGAGTATAATATTTCAAGATCGCCTTTCAAATCATTCAATAATTTTGCTAACTTTATGATTTAATACCTCTTAATTATAGAGGATTAGTTTAAAATCTTAGAACCAAGTCTTCTAATTTTCCATAAACTGATCATCAGAGAGTGTGAAAGCTAATTTTTTTTATGGCTTTTTATAAATCGTAATATTATACTATTACCAAATGCTAAATGTTCTCCTTCTTAGGTTATGATTTTAAAATAAAACTTGATTTGAAAGGAAACATAGAACCAATGTTATGGCTATTAAACTTTTCATAATTTTAATAAATAAATCGGTTTACCTAATTGGCTTCCTTAAATAAAACTTCAATTGATATTAAATTAAGTAATTTAAAAAAAGGGAATAAATCAGTAATATTTTATTTTGATTAGTTCTTGGAATAAGTAGCATTATATATTTTGGAATCACTAATTCTTAATGAAAGTTATCTATAACTTGGTGAATTTTCTTTCAACCATTCTGATTAAAATTTTTAAATGTATTTAATCTATTATCAACATTCTTCAAAAAAGATTTCAAGTTATTGACAGCAACTTTGGGTTTTCATTTATTGTAAAAAAACTACTCTAAGCAGAATGACATAAATTTATTAAAGTTATAAAGAGTATATAAATTTATAAGTTAATTCATTAATATATATTTGGAAAACAGATTTTTCGTTTTGTGCATCTCTTCAAATCTATTCTTATTAAGCTTTTTCATTATTCTATATCTAACTAATGGATTTAATTATCTTTACTTATAATTATAAATTAGCTTTTATTCATAATCTAAGTATTACATATCAATAAGCTTTATCACTTAAATAAGTTTTTTTTGATTTTGCTTAATTGAAAAATGGCATATATTTTATCAAAATTTCAATCTAATTAGTATTTTTCTTAATAATCTTGAGTAACTTCTCTAAAATCCTAATCATCTTATTTTAATAAGTTTTCAATAATAATTCATATTGGTCAGTAATTAAAGTTAAATTAGGATATGAAAAGGATTAGTTATCTTAACTTATATATTTTCCAATTTGTAATTTAATTACATCTTTACTTAATTGAATGTTTAATTAAACTTATGTAAATTTTTTGTAAACCATTAAAGGGATGCTATTTAATCAAAGTCTAAAATCGGTAACGCTTAAATTATAATTCTTGAAGGATAACTGCATCAAACGCTTCAATTAGGTTTGGGGTTTTTAGATTTTGTAGATTAGAATTATTGTAAAAAAACACAATAATAATTGTAAAATAGATACTTGTTATATATTTAATTTTCTCATATTTTATTGTTTTAATTCTAATATCTCTTTTCTCTCATTTTTCTATTGCCAATCATTTCTATCCAAATACCTACTTTTTAACCTTTCAAATTATATTAACCATTTAGAGTGACTTTATGATTATTATTAAAAATATACCATCGACCTATCTTCATCTCATTCATATTATATTCTCCATTATAAGTGATTTATTTCATATTCCTAAACTCTTCATCCAATTCTGTCCACTTTCCAATCTTTTTCTAATTTCCTTCTTAATCATATGATCCTCCACCACTAAATTTTTAAATATTATTATTAATAATTCATATTTACATTTATTTATATTCTCCATATATAAGAGATTTAATATCCCATCTACCTACCTTCATTCCATTCATATTGTATTCACCATTATGGATGAATTATTTTTTATCCAATTCTGTCCACTTTCCTATCTTTTACTAATTTCCTTCTTAATCGTATTATCCACCGCCACTGAATTTATTTTATATTCTTATAAATAATTAATATTTACATTTATTCATATTCTCCATAATTAATAGATATTATATCCCATTTCCCTACCTTCATACCATTCTTATTGTATTCACCATTATAAGTGAATTATTATTAACAATCAAACCCTCCATCCAATTCTGTCCACTTTCCAATCTTTTTCTAATTTCCTTCTAAATCGTATGATCCACCTCCACTAAATAGATATTATCTAATATCTACATTTATTAATATCCCTTCTCAAAATCATTCTTATACATAATATCCCATCTACCTATCTTCATTCCATTCATACTATATTCGCCATTATAAGTGATTTTTTTCTCATTATTAAATCCTTCATCCAATTCTACCCACTTTCCTATCTTTATCTAATTTCCATAACATATTACCCCCGCCACTAAATATATCTAATAATTATCTCATGCCTACATTTATTTATATTCCTAGATATGCTTTTCACGATTAGTTTTCCATCGATCTATCTAATTTGCATCGAAATCATATTATCTAAATGGATCTAATAATTATATATCTACATTTCTTGATATTTCTTTTCCAACTCATCCTTAAATACAATATCCCATCGGCCTACTTTCATCCCATTCATATCATATTCGCCAACATAAGTGACTTTCTTCTATATATTAAACCCTTCATCCAATTCTACCCACTTTCCAATCTTTTTCTAATTTCCTTCTTAATCATATGATCCCCCACCACAATTTTTTTAATATTATTATTAATAATTAATATTTACATTTATTTATATTCTCCATATTTAAGAGATTTAATATCCCATCTACCTACCTTCATTCCATTCATATTGTATTCACCATTATGGGAGAATTATTTTTTATCCAATTCTGTCCACTTTCCAATCTTTTACTAATTTCCTTCTTAATCGTATTATCCACCGCCACTGAATATATTTTATATTCTTATAAATAATTAATATTTACATATATTCATATTCTCCATAATTAATAGATATTATATCCCATTTCCCTACCTTCATACCATTCTTATTGTATTCACCATTATAAGTGAATTATTTTTAACTATCAAACCCTTCATCCAATTCTGTCCACTTTCCAATCTTTTTCTAATTTCCTTCTAAATCGTATGATCCACCTCCACTAAATAGATATTATCTAATATCTACATTTATTAATATCCCTTCCAAAAATCATTCTTATACATAATATCCCAGTTACCTACCTTCATACCATTCATATTATATTCACCTTTATAAGCAACTTATTTTCTTTTATAAAATCCTTCGTCTAGCTCAATCCATTTGCCTTACTTTTAACCATTCTTGTTGTAATTCCCACCACCACTAAACAATTTTAAAAATAAAATAAATACATTTTCTTATCTTTTTTAATATAATTCCATCTTCCAATTCTCTAGCCATGAGAATATTCTCCAAACTCAAAAATTTATGCTTAACTATTGAAGTAAAAATCAATAGTTTACTCTTAATAGTTTAGGAATAGATCTTTCCATAATCCATACTTTAATCCTGCTTTATAGTATCCACCAACATTCTTTAGAAGTTTTTTACTCCAAAAAGCAATCCATTTACCTTCTTTCTTTTTGTTTTAACAACAATAACCTTCCCATAAAAGATTATGGATTTGATCCATATTATTAAATAATTCCGGTTTCCCTTTGACATCATGGCTTTCAGTTCTATTCATAAAGTTATAAATAAATTGTACACTCTCAAGATTGCTCTATTTTATAAATATATGATTTTTTAATCTGAGGTGAACTTGATTTGAATTTTTATTTTCTCGATCATACTTGTTTATCTGTTTTAGCTGTCAACTTCTTTTTCAATAGTGTGGTCCTCCTAGTATATTGATTATCGGCAGCTCAAATGGTTCTAATTGGGAGAATTCATTTTATAAATTTATTTATTTTCTATTATTTTTAAAATATGTGAATTTCAATACTGAAAATAATATTCACCATAATTATCATAACTCTAGATAATTTTAGATAAAGTACCTTAATGTTTGTTATAAAAAATTATTTTGAATATTTAAATTAGTAAGTTATCTTATTTAATTCAATCTATTGAAATTGAGGTGATGTGAATGGATAATAACAAGGTTGAAATTATTTATTCAAAATAATACTTATATATCTTTGTTTTAAATATGATTTTAGATGTTTGATAATTACGTGTTAGATTGAGAATTATGATTTTCGATTAATTCTAAACGAAGGTTTTATTATGAAGTTAATTTAACTTTTTAAAAACTTAACTCATACTTAAATTAAGATATTATATCACTAGAATTTTACAGAAAATTGAAGAGTATCAATATTATATTCAATTAAAAATTTAGATAATTCTTAAGAATTTGGCAATATTTGCTAATCTA